GCCTGGTGCTGTGCTCTCAGGGCAGAGGACAAAGTTAAGTTTAGGGAGTTAGGTTTAGGGAGTTAGGTCCTGGTAAGTGAGTAGGAGAGTGTGAAAACCAGGGTTAGTTGGGGATACTTTAGCTGCTTGGGTCCTGGTAATTGACAGAGGAATGCAACTGTCCTGTTCGAGGTGAATCCAAGTTGACTTCCTGGAGCTTACAAGAATTCCTTGAGTTTGTGAAAAGTTTTTAGGGATTATTTTAAACATGCTAGCACTCCCATCCCATTGTTTGTTATCTGTGCTGAAATTCACACAGTAGAAACGGCAGTATACTCATGACAAAAATGATTCTGGTTGAAAGCTTTAACACTCTTGTGTCTGGAAAACTGAGATGTTTTTAGCACAATGAAGAGTCGCTTTTTAGTTTAAAGTTAGAAAATGACCAAAGGGAATTTAAACTCTTGGTCTTGTAGCCATGATCTTAGAGTGATAGTATGGTGTTTAGTACTCTGCCAAAGATAGGTTAAGTGCTTATCACAATTTCATCCAAGACTGTTAAGACTATGAACTTTTGGAGTCTTAATCATAATAGTCACATAATGAGAGAGAGAGAGAGAGACAGACAGACAGACAGACAGATAGACAAAGACAGAGAGACAGAGAGACAGAGACAGACAGAGAGAGATATCTGGGACATGTTTCATCCTTTTATGTCTCTAAACACTTTCTATTTATCAGAATTTAAACCTTTTTTTTAAATCCATGGACATCATAATTTGCATTTGTACACCTTAAGTCACTTTTTTAGACCCTGAAACATTCTTAGATCCTCACCTCTTAAGCTTTGGACCTTAAAACACCTTTTCTCTAATTTCCCACTGAGACCTGTCACTGTAAAGCTAGGTCCTTTACACAAAGGAATCTTAAGAGTTACATTAAAAAATATTTTGTGAATTTTCTTCTCTTGAGTCTGGTAGCAAGGTGAGCTGTGTCTAGACTTGGTATGGGCTCTAGGGGAGGGAGGCCTGTGTCTTGAATTTTACAGGGAACTGAGAAGTCAGCTGAAGTCTTGGTTGTTGTTGTTAAGCTGGTCTGTAGTGATATTTATGACATATTAAAAGCTTGCTTGTGGATTCAGAAAAGCAAGATCAGCCTCAAGCTATAGAGATCATGCAGCTTTAATACCAGCAGCCAGAAGCTAGGGGGTGATGGCACATACCTTTAATCCTAGGAGTCAGGATTAAGAGATAGATGTACTTTGTAAATCCAAAGCCACCCTGGAATACACTAGGTTGAATCAGTCTAAAAGAGTAACAGACCACATGCCTTTAATCTCAGCACTAGAGGGGTATAAAATATAGAAGCAGGGTTGTTAGTGGTCAGTATGAGACAGTGAGTCTCCAGCAACTTTGAGGAGAGGCAGTAGTCTGAAGCTTGGTGAAGAGCTAATATGTGCCTCAGCCATTCAGTCTGAGGTATAGATAAAGACACCAGTGGTCAGCTATTTTGATTTTCTGATATTCAACTTGAAGTTGAACCTCAGCAACAGTCTCTGGGTCTTTTATTTAATTTTGTTACACTGGCTGAACTACTAGTCATCAAACAATAGTCAGAGTTCTGAGAAGGATAAACTTTAGCTGAGTTAATGATTAAAAATGACAGAGACTTACTTGCTGGCTGCCTAGACACTACCCTGGGGTCCTCCATGGTCACTTTGTTTTGGCAGCTCGAGGCTGTCAATTCCCCAGTGTCCTGTTTTGTCCAGGGTCTAAAGAGGGTCTTTGCAGCAGTTTAGATGAAAGGCAGGTTTTCTCAGTGGTTTGAAGCCAATACCGGATGGAGCTTCTTCTGTGCCCATCCATCTTCTTTGGAGGAAATAGGAGTGCTGCCAGGAGCTGGCATGTGTCTCTCTATTACAAAAGCTTTCTGAACATTTTAAGTGTAAGATTCTGCAGATCTCTGAACATTTGAGAACTGTTTGTCTATTAGGTATGTGAGTAGATGACATTTCATTACTAGTTATTTGCTTTAAGCTTGGCTCTGAAAACTTATAGGGGACTAGGTAAGGCTTATCCCTGTAACTACATCAGTATCCAGCATGACCATAATTAAAGAGTCTTATCATTTATAAGCTGACTCTTAACTTGTATTCCTCAATAGACCACAATAGGTTGGCAGCTTCCATAAGACTAGCAGTTTATGTTTCTGTCAGGTTAGACTTAAAAATAATGATTTTTGAATTGAAGCTCTTTTAGTATAAAAATAAGAACCCAAGATAGCCATTCTGAGGGTAATAACAGAACATGTTTGTACCAAACTGAGACTCTCACCTGAGAAGGCAAGAAAAGGTGATAAGGGTAAGATCCCAGGGCCAAGTGGGAACGGGAGGAAGGGGACTTGTGAGTTGGAGTGTGACCCAGGAGCTGGGACTGAGGGAGCACAGAGGCCAGCACTGTCCTTTAACAAACATGGACAACAGAAATCAGTAATAGGAATAATCTGTGTCTATATTTTTAAATAAGAACATTTTTCTGTAATCTCAGGTTCTAGACTCTGTTATTAATTCATCCATTCATTTTTATGTTTAAATTAATTTAAAATGCAACTGGTTAGTGAGGGCCTTTCTGATGGGGCAAGGAGATGCCTTGAAAAATTATGCCTGGGAGGCAATTTAGGGAAGCCAGAAGAACATGGTCATAAAAGTGTGCAAAGAATGATGTATAGAGACAACTTTGGGGAAGAGACATAAGGTTCCCAGTGCCTATCACAGGTGTGATATAGTATATTTACCTTGCTGATGTTGAATGACTCTGGTCTCCTAGGGTACCCACTTCACATAAGAATAAACCTTACACACACAAACACACACAGGAGGGGGGAGGGGAGATGTGAGAGGGAGAGAGCGCTAAAAAACAGCATTAAGGGTTATAGAAATTTGTCTAGCATGCCTGAAACCTTGTGTTCTGTCCCTAGGACTGCAAACACACAATAATATCCAAGTAAGGGCTCTGGTTGTAGCTTGGGAAGGCACTTGTCTATCACACATTCCTGCCTAATACACATGGGTTAGATTCACAGCACCAGAAGGTGGATAGGCATGGCATCATAGTGTAAAAATACTAAATTCAATTCACTAATTGAATATTTTATGAAGCTTAGAAATTCATTAAAAGGTCAGTGCTTCTAAAGCCACTGTTTTACCACTCAGTGAATCCTTAAGTGATCCAGCAACTGTGTTTCATCCTTAACAATCAAGTCTACATTTTCTTATGGTTTAAACACAGTGAGCTTCCTCTGCAGTGGTCCTAGGACCAATTTGGACTTTCCCATCTACCTGGGAGAATAAAGCCTCAGAGCACGATAACCAAAGCTTAAGAGCTGCTGATTCTTTCTTGATTTTGTTGCCATAGTGATCTTCTGACTAGATTGTTCCCAAGCTTGCTTTTCTCTCACCTCAGAGATTTCTGCTCTCCAACGAGGCTTTGTACTGTGTTCAGGCCTCTGCCCACACATGAGACTGACTGGTCAGCAAACTAATGAGGCCAGGTTTATTGCATGGCAATCACACCACTCATGCTATGCTGTCAGCAGTGATTTTCATATGACATGAGTGTTTGCCTCCCTGAACATGGTGGATTTTTGGTTCCTGAGCCTAAGACACTAGCCATCTGTCCCTCTATCAGAAAGGGGCCTGAGGGCCGGTGAGATGGCCCAGTGGGGAAAGGTGCCCACTGCTAAGCTTGATGACCTGAGTTCAATCCCTGGGCCCACATGGTAGAAGCAGAAAACAGACTCCTGGCATCTACATTTGTGACATCACACAAAAAAATGAATAAATACATGCCTAGAATTTAAGATTTAAGGAGAAACTCTCCAGCTGCTATGTCCCTACACATAGTAGGAATACTACTATTTTTCCTTTATTTCAAGGTAAACATACACTGTCTTAAGGGATTACACTGCATTAAGGGATTATACTGTATCCCACATAAAAAAGGGTTTATAAAGCAATATGTCCTTGTTGCTGAGATTTTATTTTGTAGTTAGTACAGGTAAGATTGAGGGAGATGACTTGCAGGGATTATATGTCTGTGGACACTGACAGTCTGAGTCCTGGCACTATTTTGCCTTAGTTCCTGTCTAGGAACATTGCATATTGAGACAGACCATCCATCAGTAATTGTTTAGATGCTTACAGCCTTTTTAGATTCTGTTGATTTGTGATTTGTAGGTTGAACCTGACTAATCCAATAATCCTATCTCTTCAGAGATTCAAACTTTAGAATCTTTTGAGCATAGACTTGGTAAATCACCTAGAAAATTCAACGCCATGAAATTATCACATGAAGAATTATCAAAAGTTTATAAATTTCCTATTAACATACATAAAGTGTAGGCATGTGAATGCTACATCAGTCATGTTCATACTTAAGGATAATTTATAAGAAAATATCTATATGCAAAAATTTTAAATTGCTAAGAAAGATGTAAATGCTGAAATCAAACATTTGGATAAGGGATCTTCACCTTGTCTGTCTTAGGAAGAAACCATACAAGACAGTGTCTACTCTTTACCCAAATGTTCAAATCCCGTTTGTTTTGGGGTTTGTGTAGGATCTGCATGCTAAAATGCTGGGCTATATGGTGTGTTCTTTTGGGATTGACTGTAGTGAACATGCAGAGCCTGGAAACTGGGTAAAATCAGTCACCAGTGAGAGAAGTCACAGGTCCCCACACCCTCTCAGTGTCACAAACATTTTTAGAGATCTGAGACTTGACACTTGTCATTTATAAAGTGTCCTTAGGAACATGGACTCTGTTCTCTCCTCTTCATGTTATCAGTACAGCTGCCTGCTATTAGTGAGCTGTCTCCACAGCCCTGCCCTGCTCTGACCTGGTTGGTCAGAACAGACGTTCAGGAGAGGAGCCTCCCTGGGAACAGCCTTGCACTGGTGCTACAAAAGAAGCTCTTGTCTTCTTGTTGATTCATCCTTGTTTCATTTTGATTTCCAAATCCAGAAACTCCAACGAGTCCTTCAACTATAACAAGACCTCCAACTATAACAAGACCTCCAACTATAACAAGACCTCCAAATATAACAAGACCTCCAACTATAACAAGACCTCCAACTACAACAAGACCCACAAATACAACAAGACCCACAGCTACAAGAAGACCCACATCTATAGGAAGACCCACATCTATAGGAAGACCCACATCTATAGGAAGACCCACATCTATAGGAAGACCCACAGCTACAATAAGGCCAACAACTACAGTGAAACCCACGACTATGTTAACAAGACCTACAAATGCACCAACATCACCCAGAGTCTCCATCTCACCTCCTACAACAGCACAGGAAGAGACTCACACACCAGGTAAAATCCAGTGTGGTCCAGGACCCAGAGTCCTTTTTATCAGTGGCTGTAGAACACACAGACACTAAGTAAAATCAGCAGTATATATGGCTGAAGATTTCTTAGATGGGTCCCAACCACAGTTTCACAAAGTCTGTAATTTCCCAGTCTTAAGTTACATTCATCCCTGCTGTATAAAAACTTGAAGGTGGAGGACACCATCTGTTTGAGATCCCAGGGGATTCACTACTAGCCAGACTTAGGTGGATCATTGGCTAGGAGAACTGATGAAGATTGGGGGGGGGGGGGCATCTGGATCAGCTCCAGCATGACTTTCTGATTAAAAAGTAAGGACTGACTGAGAACTGAGGTCAGGGTAAAGAGATCCTCGACCCTTTGCATTATTTTGAAATTGGTCCATGCAGCTGAGACCTTAGTTCAGTGAAGCCAACATTTAGCATTTCCTGTGCATTAGGACACATGTCCCATGCTTTATGATGCAGAGATTAGTTCTCAGACAATTATGTCCTATATACCTGTGATCTATCCCTATTTTATAGTGACAGGAACTGACAGAGTCAGAAAGTTCATGGTAGAGTTATGAAGACAGAAAGTGGTTCAGACTCTGTCCTTGTTCACTTGAGTTAGAAGCTGGTTCTTTTGACTCCATAGTCAGAACTCCTGCTGTGAGCAGGGATGTTGGGAGAAGAAGCCACATAGCTTTGTTTTTGTTGTTGTTGTTGTTAGGGTAATCTGATGGGTGGTATTTGCTTCTTTTACCTCTCAATGGCCTTTTGGTAATTTCAAGCAGCAGGACCCTGAAGGACATGGCTGCATGCCAAGTTTGCCGAGGCTTCTAGGTTATAACTAGGTTAGTCAAGCAACTACTTTGTTCCAGGTAGCTATCTCTCAGGATTAACAGAATTTTTCAACACTTAGTTTCAGCCTGCTTCCGGGGATGGGCTCATGGACTAAGGACCCATAATATTTCCACTCATTTTGTGGACCCTGTGTGTACTTTGCCAGCTGAGATGTCTGTCATTTTCTAAAATTGGAAAGATGGAGTCATGTTTCATCTGTAAAATGCAGTGAAGGGTTCCTTGTCAGGATGTCACAACCCTTATATGATGGGAGATGTCATTCTGTAAATATGTTTTTCTTATTGGTTAATGAATAAAGCCCTGTTGGCCAATAGGAAGTCAAGATAGGCGGGACTAGGAGACAAGGAAGATTCAGGGAGAGGTAGGAGATTCAACACATAGGACCAAGAGAGCAGAGATCCGAATCCTCTCTCCAGTAAGATAACACCACGTGAAAATACTTAGATTGATAGAAATGGGTTAATATTTAAGACTAAGCTAGCCAATAAGAAATCTAGTAACAGGCCAATAGCTTTACATGTAATATAGCATCTCTGTGTTATTGGGGGCTCAAGCAGCTGTCGGACCAGTCTGGTGACAAAACTAATAACAATTATGTATATCTGCTATCAGAGGAAAGGGAATTCTGTGTTTCATTCATAGAAAATAGAATGAAAACAACAGATTCCTTGTTATAAAATAGACATTTCAAATATAATTTGAACATCTAAATGTTCAAAACTTGCTGTTCGGTGAATCCCCTGACTTACTAAATCCCACACTAACACAATGTAAGACACATTAACTCTGTGGGTGACTTTTATAGTTGTAGAAAAAAAATCTAAATTTGTGTGTTTATAATTATTTTTTCATCTTGTTGAGCAGATTGGAGTAACATTGTGACATCCTTGGAAGAGTCTTGGAATAATTATACTGTAAGCATATTCCTCCCTAATATATTAGCCATGTTTAGTTGTATATCTTCTAGGAAACAATTTGTGGTTAAAGATGTCTGTAAAATTAGTTCACAGATATTTGTGTTAAAAAAAGAAGAGTCAGATATGGGGGTAACTTATTTATTCTCAGGACTCAGCAAGTTAATACAAAATATCAGAAGTTTGAGACCAACCTGAACCACTAGGGAATGTGGACTATTTAGTGACATCCTGGCTTAAAAACTGTAGATAAATTAGTAAATTAGTAAATATATAAAAACAAAGACATTAAGAGTTTGATATTGAGGCTGGAGAGTTGGCTCAGAGGTTAAGAGCACTGGCTGCTCTTCCAGAGGTCATGGGTTCGATTCCCAGAAACCACATGGTGGCTTATAACCATCTAAAATACGATCTGGTGCCCTCTTCTGGCATGCAGGTAGAACAAATGTAATAAATATGAAACAAATAAATAAAATCTTTTAAAAATAAAAAATATTAAAAAAGAGTTTGACGTTTACAAAAAAAAAAAAAAACATTTGAATTCAAGATGTTAGCTTACATTCCCCTCATTTTGTTTATCTACCCACTGACCATTCTCTGTAGAGCATACTGGTGATGTTTTGTTTCACTCACACAAACCACCACAGAAGGTTATTAGAGCAGACAACAATCACATACATGATGTATGAGCCCACATAAGTATGTGGTTAGATTTTTGACTGAGGTATCTTACCCATGTAGTCACCTCAACTAATGTAGAACAGGTTTCCACCATTGTCAAAGACTGATTTCACATTACCTTGGAGTTACACTGCCTTTACCATCAGATCCTTGGGTCTTCCTTGGGTCAGTAAGAGGAAGATCCAGGACCTAGAGTCTAGGTTAAGGTCAAGCATGTGTTTTCTGTTCCTCTTACTTGGTGCCCCCTGTGTTTGCTTCTGTTTATTTATTGCCACTGTTTTATTTATTGTTTCCTTAGAAATTCATCCCTGCAGTGAATTCACAGGAGAAAATGACTCAGGACTTCTCTCTTGGCAGCCCCATTGCTTCCCTGATGTTGATGCTGCTTATGTGTGCCCTGGCTATCATGGGTAAGTAATTTCACAACTGCCCCCCAAACAGTGATCTTTTTTTTTTTTTTTTTTTTTTTTTCATTATTTTTTTTATTTTTTTTATTTAATTTTATATAACAAAGTCCAATTAAATGAAAACAAACATTTATACACAATATTTGGGAATTTGGGCGTCGTTCTTTCCAAACTACTTCCTGCTGGTAAGGGGCGCTGTCTTGGGGGATTCGAAGAAGATTCAGATATCCTAGCTGTAGTCTGTAGGGCTGTTTTGTCCAGCTGTTTGGAATGTAGGATCAGCTTGTACTCTGTTTCAGGGGGTCTGGTGTGATCAAACCACATTAGTCTGGAAGGAATCCACATCTTTTCATTTTCTGTGGAAACAAAAATAGAAATACTTTTCCCCAGTAACTTGTTCTTCAACTTAAATTTTGGAGTCAAAGCGTTTTTTTTTTTTTTTTTTTTTTTTTTTTTTTTTTTTTTAATTTATTATTTTACATGTGGATCCCAGTTCCCTCCCTCCCTCCCCTCAAGCCCTCCCTTCCTCCTTCCCTCCCTTTTGCCCTCTCTACCCTCTCCCATGCACTCTAAACACCCTCCCCTCCCAACCCCCCCACCACAATACCATATGTAGGGGAATGCCATCCAGTTGGGGTCATGTAGATCTGACAGGTCCTGTGAAGTAGGGACTAGGGCTTCTCTCCTATCTCTAGAATAAGGCAGTTATCCCTCCATGGGGGATATGTTTGCAAAGTCCTTTTGTGCACCAGGGATACATCCTGGCTCCACTGTCTGAGGTCTCTTAGACTGCTCAGACCTTCTGGCTGAGACCCATATTCAGGGGGGTCCGAGTCAGTCCCCTGTTGGCTTCCCAGCTATCAGTCTAGTGGCTCTTAGCTCCTCCTTGTTCAGGTAAGCTGTCTCTATGTACTTCTACCGCATGGTCTTGTCCTCTCCATCTGCTTCTGGGTTCTAGTTCGACTCAGTGTTTATGTAAGGGTGTTTGCTCCTGTTTTCAACAGGCATTAGTTGAGGGCCCCATGGATAAGTTAGTTGTTGATCTCACTCTCCGGGAAGGGCATTTATGATAGCCTTTCCACGGAAGCTGAGATTGTTAGTTGGAAGCAGTCTTGTAGTTCCCTCGACCTTTCTTTGTGTTCAACTTTATCTTCAAACCAATATTGGCTCCCTCTTTTATGTTCTCTCTCTCTGTCTCTGTCTCTCTCTCTCTCTTTCCTATTTTCCATTCCTAACCAGGCTCAATCCTCCTGGTCGCACATGCCTTCCTCTCCTCCCTCTCATTTTCTCCTACTTCTCTCTCCATTAGCTGTCCTCCCCCACTTTACCTGAGGTCTGGGGGACTTGTCCCTTCCCAGTTCTGTGAGGGACTTTATATGAATCTCTTAGAATACAACTTGTATCCTGGTTCCTCTGGTGATGTGAATTATAGGCTGGTGATCATTTGATCTAGTTCTAAAATCCATATATGAGTGAGTACATACTGTGTTTCTCTTTTTGTGACTGGGTTACCTCATTCAGGATGGTTTCTTCAAGTGCCATCCACTTGCCTGCGAATTTCAAGATACCATTATTTTTTTCTGCAGAGTAGTATTCCATTGTGTAGATGTGCCACATCTTCATTAACCATTCTTCAATTGAAGGGCATCTAGGTTGCTTCCAGGTTCTTGCTATTACAAATAGTGCTGCTATGAACATAGTTGAACAGATGTCTTTGTTGCATTGATGTGAATCCTTTGGGTATATGCCTAAGAGGGGGATTGCCGGGTCCTGTGGTAAACTAATTCCCATTTTCCTGAGGAACCGCCATACTGATCTCCAAAATGGCTGCCAAACAGTGATCTTAAACCATTGCTACCATATCTGCAAATATTCCTAATCTGTACAACTCAAGGAGCTTAAATACTCCTGGAGTTTCTCAGCTAAAACCATTTATTTATTTAATTTATTTTACATTCCTGATCCTGACACCAGTTTCCCCTCCCTCATCTGCCCCCATTCCCTCCCCCTGCTGCCCATCTGCCAAACCATCCCCCCCCTCAGTCCAATCTACACTTCCTCTGCTGATCTTCAGAAAGGGGCAGGCTTGCTATGGATATCAACAAAGCACAGTATGTCATGCTGTGGGTTAATACCATTTTTTGTGCCTTCATTTTGTTTTGCTTTTAGTTTGGGTTTTTGTTTTTGTTTTTTTGCTATGTGGCCATGATTAGGAGAAAATATCATGAGTGACTTTGATGTCATGTTCAATTTTCCTTTCAATTTCTCCTACCTCTTCCCACCCCAATTTAGGGTGCATCCTTATGAAAAAGAAGTCAGGATCTCAGAGATAAACTGGTATGGATTGTGTTGTTTCTGAACTAACCATCTTGAGATTGTCTCTCTATACTCTTTTGCTTATAAGTCATTCTTTACTAAGTAATTCATTGATTGATTGGTTGATTTGAAACAGAGTCTTATAAATCATACTTTACTAATTCATTCATCAGTGGATTGGTTGATTTGAAACAGGGTTCATTATGTGGTTCAGACTGGCCTGGAACCTGCTATGTAGCTTAGGCCAGACTGAACTCACAATCCTCCTGCCTCAGATTCTTTTACTCTGGGATAACAGGTGTGTTCCGCAATGCTTGGCCCTTCTTCTGTACCAAATAAAGTTCAATGAGTCTCTTTCTTGTTACCTTCACTTCTCAGAGATGCATTCTGCATTCTGCATTCAGCATTTCTCTGCATTCATGGTAGGACAGGAGCAGAAGGGCCCCTGAACCCTAATCTCTTACAGGTAGACACTGAGTTGTAAGTTTGCCTCCTGGAGCTGGTATTGAAGGAGTTGCTTTGAAACACTCTTGTTCCACCCAGTGTTTTCTGGTGAAGTCTATCACAGAGCACATAAGCTAGAAGAAAGGTCATTTTAGGGGCCTTTAGGAAAGTATGCTGGGGATGACAGGCTTAGGTGGGGGGGTTGTTTAAAGGAGCAGAGGATTTAGAGGAAGATGCCTTCTAAGATGCCAGGAGTGTAACAGAACTGTGGTATAGCCAGTGCCTCCACACTCCACACTAGTCCACTTCACTCACTACACTGGTGTCTGCCCTGCAGGTTCCTCAGTTTACTATACCTGGGGAGCTTTGTTAGTGTTCCCAGTGTAAGTGCCCTGTACCTCCTCTTTGCCAAGTGTTACGCTATCTAGTCATCTTACTTTCTCTAAAGATTAGCTATACACAGGGCAATTTCTTTCAGTAATATCCATGTCTATCAGGCTGCCATCTATGGACTTACCTATGTAATAATAGGGAACCTGCTCATGTCACTAGGCACTCCTATGTCTTTCCTAAAGCATCACAGTACAAAATAAATCCATGATTCATCCACTTCCTAGCCCAGTCCACCATGCACACCCTGATTGGGTATCTCAGTGTGATGCCAAGATTTCTGCCTCTAGATCTCCCACTTATGTGTTTTACTACACTAGTATCTTGAAGGACTCCAACATGAACTGGCTTTTAAAAAAATTAATCTCTGAATGGAGCTCCTGGAGTCCCAAGCCTATGTCATGAATAAAGTTCTGTTCATACCTGAAAGGTAACCTCTTGTTCATTCTTCATATCTCTCTCTCTCTTTCTCTCTGCAGGTTGGTAGCATTCCGCATCTCTTAGATTGGAGCTTTACAGAAGGCAGAAATTGTGGGGGGCCTTAAGGTGAAGACAACATCTACATAAATGAAGACAGTCCTTACTCTACAACATGAATACCAGTGGCCCTCTGAGGGAGGGGCCTTCTGCTTGAGATTGAAAAGACAGCAACAGGATTTGATATAGCAAACACCCTTTAGAGCTCCAGGACTATTTTCTGTGTCTATTCCTCTCCTCCAGCAGTGGTGAAGAGGCTGTTTGAGTAACTCACTGTTCACACCATCCTATCCTATATCATCCTTTTTTTTGTTTGTTTTTTTTTTTTTTTGAGACAGGGTTTCCCAGTGTAGCTCTTTAGAGGTTATTCTCGAACTTGCTCTGCAGACCAGGCTGGCCTTGAACTCACAGAGTTCTGCTGGCCTCTGCCTCCAGAGTGCTGGGATTAAAGGCATGCACCACTGTCGCCCGGCTCACATCATCCTATTTCTTACATCATCACAGACTCAGTCTCTCCACTCACTGAAGTGCATTCTCTCAAACATGAACATTTTAAAATGTTGTATGTCCTTTATGTCAATAAAGTCACTATTCACTTTGAAAACTGACTTCACAATATTTTTTCAAGCTTACCAATTCGTTTGGGCCAGACATCTTCACCTTACTATGTGTGGGATCACAGGACATGGGCATATTGGGTTAAAATTTTCCATGACTTAATCAGGTGCTAAGTACCCTTCTCGGGGATGGGTATAGAGTCCATTTGAAGTCTAGTTCTTGAAAAGCTGAAGGATATGAGGGAATAGATGCAAATAACCATCAATTCTGGTCCATTAATCTGCTGATTCATTCTGGAGGGGTAGTTTCTGTGATGGCACTTGGCTCCCCAATCATGACATTTGGGACTAGGAAACTGGCATGAGGGATGATGACCAGAGACCTTAGCAGAATCTAGTCTCCCCACTGTGAAACAGTCATGCCCTGTAGTTGTGGCTGCTAGAATTGTCTACTGAGTGAAATTGCTGCATAGAATCTTTATATCAGAGGAAACAGCTTTAGCTCATTCTCAGGGACTGTCCCTAGGTCAGAGGGTTATTAGAGATGAAACCAAGGCACGTTTAACCAACCTAATGTCTCCTGAAAGGATTCTACCAAATATAGGCCCCTGGACTGGAAGAAGGTGGAGAGTTCAGAGAAGAAGCTGTGTGCTCAGGACTTATTATTCTGTCTGTCTGCCAGAGTGAGGAGGATGGGTAGGAGTGAGACTGGAGAGGTGGGCAGAGAGTCTCACAGTGACTGAATGACAAGGAACCTAGGATTCTGCAAGTCTATTTGAGAGGAGTCTCTCTCAGAAAACAGCACTTTAATATATTAAAGATTTATA